TTAGCTACTCATGGAGAGGAACGATGTCATCATTGTTGGTGTAAAAGCCATCTCTATGGATAGTCAATTAGAATCTTCAATCTATCAAACCCTAAAAGCCACCAAATCTCTCTCTTCCTCTACTAGACATCTCCTATATATATATATTGTAGGGTTTCCTCCCAAAGAAATGAAACAGAAAAAGCCCGATAAAAGAAAGAAGCCCGTACACTTTTCTATCTAGGCTGCAGTGTATAATGCTACTTTGACCTATTTGGAGTACGAATCTCGAAACTTCTATTAGACATAAAAACGACAAGCTTCAAGTCTTCTTTCCAGAGCCGCTAAGTTTACCTAATTTGGAGTTTCGGATAAAAAGTTATGCCCAAAATATGAAGTGGGTGCAGAATTTCCTACTTAAGTTGTTTCCTTATTGGAATAGGAAACTTTCTTTTCTTCATATAATGACCCAAAAATAAATTTAGCTTGCTGGAAACTCTTTTAAAAGTCTTAAATATCCTTGAATGATCTTAGCCATTAGATTACCTTGGATACTCTAACTCTCGCGGTCTCCATCCGTTGATTGAACTAAAATACTTTAAAAGCAACGGAATTGACTGAATTTCTGAAGAATACCTGAAAATGAAAAAAATTAATAAAATAACATAAGTAAAATAAAATAAACATTACTAGGGTATTAAAATATGCAAATATAAGTGCTCGAATGTGCAACATTCATCTCTTATCAACTTTCAATCACAACATTAAAAAAAACTGGTGCATAATAATAGAATGCGTCGACTCAGTGATTTTTAATGTTGAATGAGGGGGAGAAATTGAATTGAAAATGTATCGGCATACTGTACTATTTTTCCTTCGCTAAGGTTCTTTTCTCATTGTGTTTAGGACAAAGTTTTAATGAGATAGTTTTAACCTATGTAATATCATTTTCAGATATACAAGAATAGTGTACTCTTTTTCTTTCGCTAAGTTTTTATCCTACTGAATTTACGAGATATATTCTTAGTGTAGTATGATAGATACCTAAGGGGAGTGCTGTAAAAGTCAATGTGGGGTCCATCATTAAATTTTTTGCTTCAATTATATGGGCTTATGAATGTCAGAAGGGAAAAAGAGTGATTTGTGTGTATATAGACTACGGCTGCAAGTTGCGCTGGCCCAACCTAGCTCAGTCCCAACCCAACCTCAACCAAAAATCAAGAATTGTTTTAGCCATAGAGTATTGAATTTACCGTAAAGCATTGAATCCAAATATGTACCTAAGATAATCCTTCGAGAATACAAAGAACTTATACGCGTGCAATATGTATATTATATATATATATATATATATATATATATATATATATATATATATATATATATATATTCTAGGCTAATCATAAAATATTGTGTTTGTGTGTGTGTGTGTCTCTCTCTCTTCCTCTTTCTCTCTCAAGGGTTTTCAGTGGGTTTGAAACTTGAAAGTGGAATAGAAAAAAATGAAGGGAAAAGAAAGGAAGAGAGAGAAGGGAGAAAAAAATAATAATAATTTTTTTAAAAAGTTTTTTTTATAATTATTTTGGGTTGGGTTGGGTTCGGGTTGAGCCTGAGCCCAACTCGAACATGCCTGGGTTTTGAGAAAACCCAACCCAATTTGAGCCCGATTTGTGAATTTGAAAGTCCAAATTTCAAAATTTCTGGGCTGGATTAGCCTACCCAAGTTGCACCCCTAAATTATAGACATGGATTGGGAATGATAGATGGACGAAAAAAAATAGTGAAGTGTTGGTGAAAATTTGTGTATAAGTACGTGTGTTTTGTATAGAGTTGTACACATCGAAAATAAGAAGTAATAAAGAAACTCACTTATATTTATAACAAGAGAAACATAATTTAGAGAGAGAGAGAGAGAGAAAGGATAAGGCCTCCCAACAATAAACTGACTTATGAGAAGAACACGGTGAACGAATGGGTTACTTACTTTCACCATGGTGGAAGGTAATGACAATTATTTGGCCTGAGGGTCCATTTGTAAATTTGGTAGGTCCTCACTAGTGAAGATTTATAACATACTCATCATTAATGTGAACCAATAATAAATGGACACATCCTATTTTTATCACCAAATCATAGATGGTAATCGAATCACTCTCTCTGATTTGGTAAGTGAGTATTTACCCACCATATTTAATTTGGTAATTAACAATGACACGTCCATTTATTATTGATTCACATTAATAGTGAGTATGTTGTAGATCCTCACTAGTGAGGATGTAAGTATTGTCCTTTATACAATTAGTGATGAAGAGAAAGTTGAAGTTTTGATAGTCAGGACGGCTGTATTAAAGTCTGATTTGCTAAAATCACCGCCAATAGTGGGCCATTACGGGAAAACAAGCTTGTTCAGTAGTTTGCAACCAATTAGCTTAATGTGAGACACACATAATAAGTGTGAATAAATACAATAATGAGAGATGAGTACTAAATAGTTGTTATAAAAATGAAATTATAAGTGTGAGTGAGCGATTACTGAGCTACAATCGCTACACTATTTGGGTCCTCAAATTAAAATAAACCAATTCCATTTTAAATGGTTTAGAAAAGAACTCATTTTATATATAATTTGGAAAATGATATTTTTGACGGTTTTAATACCCGATTTAAAATCGAGAGACTTAAAAATATGACGTGGTTATTCAAAATTTCAACTTAAATAGGCATTATTTGTTTCCATAAAATACTCTATTTCCCTTTCCTTATCTTTTCGGTTTTCTATAGCCCCTTTCCTTATTTTTTTTTAGTTTTCCATAGCCGTATCATTTTATTTTTCTTATTTACAGTAAGTTTCATGGTACTCAAATTTAATAGTACAAAATCTAGAATAAAAACTGCAATGTTTTATAATTTTTACATGCTTTTGCAAATTTTTTTTTAAAAAAATTTCTCTTATTGTCTTTGTTTTTGGGAGTTAGATAGATTATTAGCTTTGATCATTATAGCAATTAACAAATTTTTGAATAAGTAAGTATGTTTTGTATTGAGTTGGACACACCGAAAACAAGAAGTAATAAAAAAACTCACTTATATTTATAACAAGAGAAACATAATTTAGATAGAGAGAGAGGATAGGGCCTCCCAACAATAAACTGAGTTATGAGAAAAACACGGTGAACGAATAGGTTACTTATTTTCACCATGGTAAAAGGTGATGACAATTATTTGGCCTGAGGGTCCATTTATAAATTTTTTAGGTCCTCCCTAGTGAAGATTTATAACATACTCACCGTTAATGTGAACCAATAATAAATGGACACATCCTATTTTAATCACCAAATCATAGATTATTGATAATTAACAATGATATATCTATTTATTATTGGTTCACATCAATAGTGAGTATGTTGTAATATAATTCTTTATACAATTAGTGATGAAGAGAAAGTTGAAGTTTTGATAGTCACGACGGCTGTATTAAAGTCTGATTTGCAAAAATCACCGCCAATAGTGGGCCATTACTGGGAAAACAAGCTCGTTCAGTAGTTTGCAACCAATTAGCTTAATGTGGACGATAAATGCTAATTGAAGGACTTAGTCTAACCTTTTTCATCTGAAGAAAGAAGTTTTAAGAAAAGTTAAGATTGTTAGAGAGAAGAAAATTTGAGATGAATAAATACAATCATGAGAAACTCTAAAAAAAAATTGAGATGAGTACTAAATAGTTGTTATAAAAATGAAATTATAAGTGTGAGCGAGTGACTGCTGAGCTACAATTACTATTTGGGTTCTTAAATTAAAAATAAACCAATTCCATTTTAAATGGGTTAGAAAAGAACTCATTTTATATATAATTTAGAAAATGATATTTTTGACTGTTTTAATACCCGATTTAAAATCAAGAGGCATAAAAATATGACGTGGTTATTCAAAATTTCAACTTAAATAGGCATTATTTATTTCAATAAAATACTCTCGTTCCCTTTCTTTATCTTTTCGGTTTTTCTATAGCCCCTTTCCTTATTTTTCCATAGCCGTATCATTTTATTTTTCTTATTCACAATAAGTTTCATGGTACTCAAATTTAATAATTTGATTCGTACAAAATCTAAAATAAAAACTGTAATGTTTTATAATTTTTACATGCTTTTGCAAAATTTTTTTTATTTAAAATTTCTCTTCTTGTCTTTGTTTTTGGGAGTCAGATAGATCATTAGCTTTGATCATTATAACAATTAACAAATGCCTATCAAAGTAACAGATGTATATTAATAATAAAAAACACAATCTAAAAAATTTCAATGGTCCTTACCGGGATTAATTTGAAATATAAAACGAAGAACATCATCCTCTGTGATTCTGTGAATCAATAATACAAAAAATATGTCATCTTTAATTACTAAATTTAATATAGTGAGGATATATACCCACTTGCCAAATTACATGTGGTGATTTGATTAAGATCTATGATTTGGTAATTAAAATAAAACGTACCCATTTATTATTAATTCAAATTAGTAATCAGAATGATGATTTACGTATTGTTTTAAAACAATTATACATATACATGATGGTTGAAACTTTAATCACATACTATATTAAGATAAACTTAAAAAAAAAAAATTATACAAATAGTCAATTACTACTGATTTGAATTAAAAATTATACAAATAGTCCAATCACTGAAGCACAACATTTCACCGGATGATTCATGTGGCTGAGACATGTATAGACTAGGGTTCTGTAGTCTAGGAATGTTTTGTGCTTTTGTTGGGCTTGGGCCTGTGGGTTCTTTAGCTTTGTTAACTTTTGGCTTGTATTTCTTTTACTGTTTTAGCTCGGTTGTCTATGATCGTGGGCCTCCGCTGCTATTGGGCTGTAATTTTTTTGTATCTATTGAATATACATCTAACTTACCTTCCAAATAAAAAAAAAACATTTCATTTCTTATTATCAAGGTTAAATGAGGTGGCATGGTATGTAATAACTGCTACCCCACATGGTGAGTGGTTTTCCCAGGACCCAAGCAGTTCTTCCTAAAACTGAATAGCCCTGTTTTGGTTTTTTAACATCTGCTGAATCTTATTCTTCTTTTCAACATACCAGACCAGAAGAACTCAAATTCCGTGAGTGCTCCTTTTCGAAAACAGAGAATAATCCGCCATGCTTCTATGAAAACCGACCGATAACTTTCCTGCTCCTTGAGAAAGCCTCCCTTTACTTGTCAGAAAGCCCAAAAGTATGAGCTTCCAAGATCTCCAGAATTGGGGGACCAAGCCCTCCTCCTCGGTTGCGTCTCAAAATCCATCGCAGACCGTGGCTGCCGGAATATTCCAGATCAATACTGCCGTCGCCGGATTCCGTAGGCTTGTTGATGCCATCGGAACCTCCAAGGACACCCCCGATCACCGTCAAAAGCTGTCAGTTCTCCCTCTATTTTTCTGTCTCTCTTACTTACTTATTTATTATTTACTTTGATTTGACAAATGCAATTTTACGACTGATTCGGGACAGGCACAATACAAGGCAACGGATAATGCAGTTAGTGAAGCAAACTTCTGCCAAGCTCAAATCCCTCAGCGAATCCGACCGGGGTACCACTGTCGATGTAAATTCGCCACACCACTCTCTCCTTCCCACTATTACCTTTATCATTTTGTAAATTCATGACTCAAATTCAGTTTGGCACCCCCTTCAATTTTTTTACAACTGTCACCTTCTCTCACTTTCTATCTCTTTGTGTCTTCACAATATATTTAAAAAAAATGAAAATCGTGAAGGTAAAATTTTGAAATCATTACTAATAAATAAAAGTGAACGCCAACATTAAATTTTTAATTTACTTATATGTGTTTATAATTTTGAGTTAAATAATAATGAACTTATTGTGTTTATTTCTCTAGTACTGTTTCAAAGTTTTAAGTTTTGTTTCATTTGCTAATGAATGTGATAATTCTTCAAGGTTAAACAAAATTGTCGCTCAACAATTGAATTTTTCAAGGTTATCTTGGGCATGATTCAAAAGAACAAGTGGTTTGTGCTCTCAGTGTCGTGCATTGAAATTGATGCCTTTTGAGGATTTGAGGTTGTCATGCTGCTCGCTAGATGGATAAAACTTCTCATTGGTTGTGTTATCAACTCCATATAATAGAATAAAAGCAGCGTTCATTGATTTTTAGTAGCATATCTACAACTAACTTGAAATTTGAGGACAGTTGGTCAATAACACTATCTCTGTCCCTTAATTGGGTGTTATATGATTTCAAAGAATTTCCTTTACAGTTCATCACTGTTAGAATATTATGATAACAGTCAGAGTAAAGTGTATATCTCTGTCATGGTAGTTGGGAGTAAAATTATTTGACAAGCCTTCTCTGTTGTAATATTTTGTGAGGTCATATAAAAGCAGTTGTTTTTAATTGTTGGTCTGAGATAGAATCCATGTGTTTCATAAAAGAATTCAGTTCGTTGTTGACGTATTTTTATCTCTTACTTTGTGGATTTATGGTCTGTCTCCAGTTGTCAGTTTTATATTGATTTATACTGTTAAAATAACTTTCTTATTAGCCCAAAACTTAACACTTTGGTGATGCATAAAATTTTGTATATGATAGGAAGATGAATTTGTCATGGTCAATAAGGTGTTTTTCTATGAAAAGACTTAGCTACTTCTAGTTGAATGTTTAATATTGTCAATAGTCTCCATCTGTGTATTAGGAATAACCAGTATTTTTGGGTGGATTCTCCAGCAAAGCAAGAGAATAGAAGATGCTAAGCTTGCAAGAGATTTTCAAACTACCTTACAAGAATTTCAGAAAGTTCAACAGCTTGCCTCTGAGCGCGAGTCTACTTACTTGCCTTCTGCTTCTCCATCTTCCTTCATGACTACGTATGCATTCGTAGCTTTTTCTTTTAAAACATTTTTACTCTACTTACCTCTGATGCATTACCATTTTACTTTGTTGTGCTTTTGGAAGCAGCACTAACTCTGGTGAATACTCGGTGCCTACCATGGAACAGGAGAACCAACCATTTCTTACAGAACAAAAGAGGTAGGCACTTTTGATCATAACAATGAGTACGTTGGTACTTCAAAGGTACTTGGTATGGTCTGTATTAATCGAGGGTGTTAGGTGGGTGGACTTTACAAACTACAAACCTAGATTTCGGCATTACTTGTACAAAGCAAATACCCAACTCAAACCCGCATTCCACGCTTTATAGCTGACTTTTCCCATGACAAGCAATTACCCCTAGTTTTCTAGTACTCATATATATATATATATATATATATATATGTATGTATTGCTAACAAAGATATGGTGTCCTTTCAGTGTCTGCCCAATGCCAGTTATCTATATTTTCTTGTACTTGTTCTAAATTCAGTTGAATTAAGAGGCTCTGTATCCATATAGATTAGATATTTCTAGTGCATTATTTTTGAATGGGGGTTGGTACTTTGTTCCTTCAGAAATGGTAGGAAACATGAAGCCAATTGCTGGTTAAAAAATTGCCTACACGTGTTTGAATTTCCTTAAAAACATTTGATGTGATCCAACAAGCCACTGCATTCCCCCAGGAACTGAAGATAGGTATAAATGGCTAGGCGAGGAGGAAACTTAAATGTATATAAAATGTTGGTCTAAGCAGTGAAAAAGAGCAGAACGGTTTGTGCTGCCAATTCCAAGTTGAGTTGAATATTTGGAGGATCATAATCATCAATGTAAGTGGCTAGATGATAAAGCCCAAAGAAGTCACACACCAAAGAAAAAAAAGCGGAAAAGAACTGGGTAAAGCTAGAGAGAAGTACATAAAACTAAAGTTTAAAGACTTGGATCAACAAATTGCACTCTCAAGCATGGAGCTTGTTTGCAAGGTTATAACAAGTTTCTGCTAATTTTTCTTTGAGTGAAGAAAAGCACATCATTGTGTTCCTGCCCACCTTTTGGAGTCAAAATTGTGTAGTATCTATTGGCATCTTTTCTTTCAAGAAAAATATCCCTTATTAGAGATTTCCAATTGGCTCTTGTACATGGCTCTTGCTAGAAAATTTGATTTTAAAGGTTGGCAGCAGCATGATTTGAAATTAGGAACTGAAAAACAAAGGAACCAGATACAGTTCCATAAAACTCGGTGCATCTATGGGGGCAAGTACCTCGTTGTTTATAGTGTTGGCAAACTTTTCAATTAAATTCGGAGTATGTATTTTATTTATTTTTGAGTCAGTTAGCTGGAAGGTACTTTTGATCCATGGATGACTTATGACTACGAAGCATAAAGACCAAGCATCTTATGGTGAAAAGCTAAAGTCAACTTCATGAATTGATTATTTACCAAATTAGATGTTTATTTCATGCATTGGTAGTTTAAAAATGTATATAGAACATTTATAATGCACCATGGTTTGATAAAATGGATTCAAAATTTGAAAGATAAGGTTTTTAAGCATACTAGGCTAAGATAAATCAATCAAGCCTTATGGGAATTGATGGATGCATTTTGGACTGAGTTTGATGGGTTGAGCTAATGATGGATCGGTCAGCAATCAAGCAATACTGAAGGATCAGGACTTGGATCATTTATGGCATTGACCTGAGACTTCTACTTTTGACGGATAACTAAAATTAACTTATTTCTTTCAAGACTTAAGTTGTCTATCATATATATATAGCCTTTTTAGGTTTTGAAACATACAAAGGCCTCTTAGAACAAGTGCATATAGGGAGTTCTAAAGATTTTTTTCTACGGCAAACCTTTAAAACAGCATTCACATATGTTTCTATTTTCCATACACAATGCTTTAGATGATGGGCATGATGGTTTTTGAATGTTGAGATGCGGTTTTGAGTTGTTCTTTATATACCTGCATCAAAGATGATCACACAATAGCAAGTTTGGATTGCTAGCCATGGTGATCAATCATGGAGATAAGAGCAGATTACGTTGGTGAACGAGTTCGTTGATTGATAGCTGCATAGTTCAAGGTAGGGTATAAGTTGTAGATCAGGGTTAACTGCATAATTTCATTGGCTTTTAGAATCTGGTTACTTGGTTGTATACTTTCTTCTTAGTGGAGGTCCAGAGTCTCGTGGTTTTACCATCATAAAGTTCTCCATGTGTTAACCTTTATAAGGTTCTCCATGTGTTAACCTTTATAAGGTTCTCCATGTATTTAGTATTCTTTGATGTATTAGAGTCATGTATTTACCCTTATAAGGTTCTCCATGTATTTAGTATTCTTTGGCGTATTTAGTAGTGGTACCAGAGCATATTGGTCAGGGACATTTCCCTTCAATTAGTATTACAGCGGGATGCTCTATTAACTGAGTTAGATCATGGATACGTTTAATTAAAGTGGATCCACTACTAGACCTGTTTTTTATATGGAACTAATTATTACTAGAAAGCTAGAATGACGGCATTCACACGATCACTTGATGGAACAATTTGGGATGTTAATGCGAATGGATGGACTCATCCAACTCAAACTGTTGATGGAGAAACTGTGTAAAACCTAGAGCTGAAAGGTGTAAAAGTGATAATGAACAATGTATTTGGCATTCTGATTGCAGTCTTTAGTGCAGTGACATCAAATGAATTTGGTAAAATATCAAGTTGCAATTTATGTAAAGAAGCTTGAGACATGCTAGAAACCACAAACAAAGGAACATCAGCTGTTAAGGTCTCAACATTACGTACCATAGTAGAAAATTTTGGTATGATGAGGATGGGAGAAAATGAAACCTTTGATGAGTTCTATGGAAAGCTTAATGGCATAGTAGATAGTAGCTTGAAGATAGGTGAAAGATTTATGAAATTAAAGCTGTAAGAAAATCTCTCAGATCTTTACATGCTGAGTTTCAATCAAAAGTAACTACTGTTGAAGAAAGTAGAGATGTAGACTAGATCAAGGTAGAGAAGTTGACTTGTAAATTAAACTTCCCCCAAATAAGAAAACTAGAAGTCCTATTTGCCATTCGTTTAAAGAAAATTCTGAAGATACCGAGAGTGACACTTTTAAAGAAGAGATAGCGCTTCTTAAATGGAAGTTCAACAATGTTCTGGAGAAGAACAAGAATTATTACAAGTGAGGTTTTCCATAGAATGTCTCATTATATTGAGTGATTGAGTTATAAAGTAAGGAGCTTTATTGAATACGTAAAAGATTGGTCAAGCGCAACACCTACACAGGATTGGATGACTGGTCATTGGAGATCAAATAATGGATTGTTGGAGGATCACATGAGGAGTGAATTTGTTAATAGAGCCGACTGCATGCCTGGAGTCTTTTGAGTTAGGGCTGCAACTCAGGCAGGCTAACCTGAGCCCAACCCAAAAATTTTTGGGCTTATTTGGAATTCGGTTCAGGCTTGGGCTAAGAAAGAGGAACTTGAATTCATGGAGAAACTATATAAAACCTAGAGCTAAAAAGTGTAAAAGTGATTATGAACAATGTATTTGGCATTCTGAGTGCAATCTTTAGTGCAGTGACATAAAATGAATTTGATAAAATATCAATGTGCAATGTACGTAAAGAAGCTTGAGACATGCTAGAAACCACAAACAAAGGAACATCATCTGTTAAGGTCTCAACATTACGTACAGTTAAGAGTATAAAATACTAAGAAGATTTAGGTGAAAAGTAAGAGGAGAGATGAAGAGAAAGTGATTAGAGAAAAGGTTTTGGGCAGACGACTGATCATCCATCTATCCCTTCACCTTGCCACATATTTATATTAGAATAGAGACAAATACAATAATACCCTTGGGGTAAAATAACCGAAGAAAATAACAACTAACTATAAAATATAATAACAACACTCCCCCTCAAGTTGGAGCATATAAATCAAACATGCCCAGCTTGAAAGACAAACGTTGAAAGGAAGCATGAGGTAATGGTTTCGTGAGAATATCTCCCAGTTGATCATTCGAGCGAATATAAGGAGTGACAATCTCTTTCTTCGTCAGCAAGTCCCGAATAAAGTGACAATCAACCTCTACATGTTTAGTACGCTCGTGGAACACATGATTACTAGCAATAAATATAGCGGCCTGATTGTCGCAATGCATATGCATAGGAGTAGGAATATTGACACCAAGATCTTGAAGGAGAGAACGAACCCATAACATCTCTGAGGCAGTATGAGCCATAGCACGATACTCAGCTTGAGCACTAGAACGGGCAACAACATTTTGCTTTTTACTACGCCAAGTAAGTAGATTCCCACTGACAAATGTACAACAGCCAGAAGTGGATCGCCGATCAGAAGGACTTCCAGTCCAGTCAGCATCACCAAAACCAATCACAAATAGGGAAGCTGAAGGCTTATACAACAAACCATTCCCTGGTGTTCTCTTCAGATATCGTAAAATACGACAAACAACATTAAAATGGGGTTGACAATGAGTATGCATGTACTGACTCACCAAACTAACGGCATAAGTAATATCAGGCCGTGTAACTGTAAGATAAATCAACTTTCCAACCAATCTCCAATATCTACCCACATCAGCATACCGTGCCCCTTGCTTACCATCAAGCTTATTAGTGGAATCCATAGGAGTATTAACCGGTCGAGCACCTAAAAGACCAGTCTCAGACAAAAGATCGAGCACATATTTCCTTTGAGATAAAGAGATACCTTGATGAGAACGAGCAACCTCAATCCCAAGAAAATAATGAAGAACATCCAAGTCTTTAGTATGGAAGTGTTGGCCCAAATGTCTTTTCAAATCAGCAATACCTACGGAGTAACTTCCAGAAGAGTGATGAACAAAAACTGAATGATTAGAAGTAGAACGGTGGAAACCATAGGCAAGTACCATGGCACTAAAGCGATAAACCTAGCATGGGGGGGCTGCTTTAGACCATATAGAGCCTTTCACAGTCGACAAACAAGATTTTCGCTACCAGCAACAACATAACCTAGGGGCTGATCCATGTACAGTTCCTCCTGATGATCACTATGGAGGAATGCATTCTTTATATCAAGCTGGTATAAGGGCCAAGAACAACTGACAACAACAGAAAGTAAGATCCGTACAGAATTTA